CACCGCGCCACCGCGCCATCGCCCCATCGCCCCATCGCCCCATCGCCCCATCGCCCCATCACCCCATCACCCCGCCGGGACACGGCGGTACACAGCCGGCCTCCCCTAACGGGACTGGGCCCGTGAAACAAACCCCAGAGGCTGCTGAACGGCTTCACTGTTTTAACAAGGCCAATTCCCATTTTAATCCAAGGTGTCCATCTAAGATCCAAGGTCCTAGGGACATAACTGGATTGTTTGAAAGATACGTATGTTTTATGCCCTCTGTATGAAAGCTGATGTACACACGTGTGTGTACAAAATACAGGTGTATGTATCCCTGCAACAGCATTTATGAGAAATTCTTAACATGGAAAGACAATTAATTAGTCTTCAGCAACCCTAAAAAGAGGTCCCAGTTCTTTCCACTTTCCTCTACGGAAAATAATTTTTAAAATTCAACAGTAGAGCAGACCACGGATTCCTGTTTTCTTTCACTCCAGCAGGCCAAACATTTCAGAGTCTTACCTGAGAAAGCCATTCTTCATCTTCCTGTCCACTGTGGTCAGAAGCTAAACTGTCATAGGACCCGTGCCGAGTGATGGGCCCAGGACTTCCAGGGGGAACCACTATAGGAAAAAGAAAACATAAACAACTTCAATCCATGCAAGGGAAAAGTGAGTGTGGGCACAACCATCCCGGATACTGTGGTACTTTATAAGACAAAGCATGACATTTAATGCACAAAGGTAATTCAAATAACTGATGAGCAAAGAAAACTTAATTTCTTAGAGGTAAGAAAGATCTTCAATTAAGAGTACACTTTAGCCTGGGCTGGGGAGTTCAGCTGGTTAGAGCATTGTCTGGATAAGCCAAGGTTGTGGGTTTAAGCCCGGGTCAGGGCACAAGACTCAACCAATGAATGCACAAATAAGTGAAACAACAAATCAGTGTTCCTCTCCCTCTCTCTCTCTCCCCTTCTTTCTCTCTCTAAAATCAGTAAGTAAATTTTTTTTTAAAAAATGAACCACTGAACACATTAAGAACCCCTTCACCTGTAGGATACAGGCTTAAAATACAAAAAGCCTACTTTCTCATACAAAGAGGAAACTTTGCTTAGGCAAAATCATAATTTGGCAATGATTTATTGAGGTTTCTACTATGAACCAAATGTTGATCCCAATAAAACACAGCCTCTTCTTTTCAAAGTCCCATACTATTTATTTGCTTAGTTTTATTATAAAATAGACTATTTTCATACCAATTTTATAGTCACAGCAAAACTAAGCAGAAAATAGATTTCCCATGCACTCCCTACTTCCATATACCATCTTCACATTAAGAGAGATAAAGCAGGTAAAACTGGGGGGAATAGAGAAGAGAAAAAGACAGGAAAAGGGAGGAAGAAAAGTAAGTGGGTATTAAAGAAAATGTAGAAAAAATAGAAAAGAATGACAAACAGAAAACAGTCTCCTAATTTCCGCCACCCAGAGGTGTGCGCATTTACTTCTACACGCGCATTTTCCTTAGGCTACGTTCCTGAAAATGAAACCAAAGGACATGAGCATCTCTAAATTCCTTCGTGCGCATTCCCAGAGGTGAACACCACCAGCAGGGACTGAGCATGCGAATCTCACTGTGCTTTGGCCGGGACAAGGTATCTTGAAGAACTGAATCTTAGTGAAACGAGAGAAATGAAGGAGACAGAGTAGAAGTAGAACTCAGGGCAAGATTTTAAAGGACACATACTCACAAGACACATACTCACAAGCACCTTATCTTAACTCACGGGCAGAGAAGAAATGGTACCTAAGACAGTCACTCATCGGAGGGGGAAACAGTATTCAAGTGTAAGACTGTTTGCTGTGAGTTCTTCAAAATCACAGCTCTACAGCTGACAGGCATTTGGCACAAGACGCAAGTGACCATCAAAGCATAATACTCGATGTCTCGTGACTCTTTAATATCATGAAGGAACGAGTACCATAATAATAATCTAATTAATATTTAAGCATCCTCTTGGAAATAATTTTGGTGTATATTACAAAACTGATAAGCAAAAACTCAGTTGTTCCCAAATCATGTTACCTTTCAAATAAATAAATTTTATGTTAAAAGTCTCAGGACAGGATATAACAAGAGAAACCCTCAAACCCCCAATCGCTAAATATTAGTCAAGAAGGTGACTAAGGACAAATACCTAGAGGTCAGGACATACTTTGGGAAGCAGCTGAGGGCAGAGAAGATCTTAAAGAGGCCACGGAAGAGGTCACCCAGATATTTGAGGGGAGAGTGTTACAAAGACAACATCAAGTACAAAGATTTTGAAATGGGAACAAAAACGAAATGTTCCAGTGATGCCAGGAGGCCCGTGTAGCTGTGTGTTGAGGCCGCTGGAGTGGAAGATTAGTCAGCAAGGCAAGGGGGGCAGGGAAGGAGGACCAGCAGGTTGTTTAGGGTGTTCAAAAAAAATGAAGTGAAGGTAATGTGATGAAAGATATACACCCTTGTATAACGAACTAGTGCCTAACATGAATTTTTCCAAGAGTGTATCTTGCACTCTACACATGCGGGGGCAGGATGGCGCCTGTCGCAGAACGAGCGTTCCTACGTATTAAGGAAATGATGGAGTTTTGGATTCTGGACGAAGTAATGACACCAGAATGGCTGGACACTGACATCCATCATCAGGACGGGGTAAACTTAAAAATAATCCAGGGGCCGGGATGAGGTAATGAGTAGGACTATAGATAAAGCAAGATTAGCCATGAGCTGTTGAAGCTGGATGATAAGTGTATGGAGAGGCCTTCTACTATTGTTTTCTAGTTTTGTATATGTTTGGAAGTTTCCATAATAAAAAGTTACGTAAGAAAAAGGAGACCCTTCCTCCTGCTGCTCTTCTCCTCCTCGCAGCCTTCCTCTGCTTCCCACAGAAAGTGGTAAAAATAGCAAGTACAGATCTATAAAACATTACATCTGAATCTTGAATTCTAAGTGGAAATTGTAAGCAGAGTTTCCACACCTTATGTTCACTTAAAAACAGTTTTCCAATGAAGCACGCTCTGAAGCATTCATAAGTACCAGGTCTGGTGGGATGTTGTTTTTCTCAACATGAAATAAATAGCTTTCCTTTTCCCTGAGATTTCTTTACATTTAAAATGTTCCCCCATCCAGGCAGGAAGAACACTGCATCTTTACTATCTTGGAGGAGCAACGATACACCAGGTCATGATGAAAAAAAAAATTCAAAACCTTGACCCTGGAGTAAGAAAAAAGCCTGACTGTGTGACAAGAACAAAGCTTCCATGCTCTCTGACCACTCAATTATTAGGAAAGATATTCTGCAATTGGAACAAGTGTACTGTAAACAGAAAGGGGGGTCCCAAGGAAAGGTAGGAACTGACAGAGTCCCAGAAGGAGCTTCAGGGATGAGCAGCCGTGAGGGATCATCTTAGAGTTCAAGGAAGCGGTGCGAGCGCCCACGTGGTGCGGGAGCAGAAGCGGGGGGTGCACCCAGAGCATCTGCGCAGCCAAGTCTGAAACAGCCTCCCCGAGCTCCCCATGAATCAGCGCAGAACATTACTGTGTGTCCAAGAGTAACATGAACACGTTCCAAAGAACTGACAGGCTTTGAAGTAGAAACAAGGGGGAACGCTGCGGAGGCCTGTACGGAGCAATAACCAGCGATCAGGTAGGGAACTGGGGCTTCTCGGTGGCTACAAGGATAAAATGTCCCAACTCTCCCGTCTCGCTATCTTTGCGCTCTCTAAGCCCTATCAAACTGAGATGCAATTTTGGAGGGGGTAGTAATTGGTTGAGATTAAATTTCTGCACATTTGTTAGAATAAAGGTGCAAAAAAATTTTTTAAGCTAAATAAATAAATAATACATATGTAAATCTTGCAAGCCTGAGTTTAACGAACAAACATGCATACATACCTAAAGAAAAGGGTTTAGTATGTTTTGCATACCAACTGTTCTTAGATAATTAATAAACCTGAGACAGGAGAAGTATGGAATTTTGAAACTAAAACATCTGCCATGTTCCACCCCTCCCCTTATCCCTACTAGTAAAATAATTTAAAACAAGTCTATCCATCTAACTAAAATGGACACACTGTCAATCTGCTTTAGAAAGTGCAACCCCCAAAGTGCTGCCTGGACACAGGCACTGGATACGGACAGATCAACAAGCCAGGGCAGGGCCTGCAGACCACTATGAGGAAACTGAGCCAGACTCTGTTTATAGTGTGTCCTCAGGAAAGCAGATCATGCTACTAGTGAGTAAATAAAAGCTTTAAAAAAAAATCACACAGTGTATTTTACTGTCTTACAGTGATATATGGGGAGGAGGGGTGTATACGTGTGTTTCTATATATATTTTTATGTTTACGTGCAAACAAAAACCAATGTGCTTCAGTGCCGACCTTTGCAAATTAGTCCTGTTCATCTAAACCCCCAAAGAATTCCAAGTCAGCACAACAATGTAAGTAAAATACTGAACAAAAAGTTAAATGGTCTTTTGATAATGCTTCTAAGTCTGAATTCCACATAACAAAATTTTCAATATTCCAAAATGGAAAACATTAATTAATAATATAACTTCTCAACTCTATAAAAAGATATCTGGTTTTGTATTTTTACATGTGTTTTGCACCATAATGTAAGGATCAACGGGTATAGAATTTTTACAAATTATCCACATAAAATATATCATTTACGAGTTAGAGGAAGTTAAAAGCATGGATTTAGATCTGTTAAAACTACAGCTACAAAGTATTAAGCTGTTCAGATAATAATTGCTAAATTAAAGCACTATAAACGCTGCATTACCAGGCATTGAAAGTGACTCTGAAGTCTCCTTTTTAACATGGGTTTATGGAATGGATATAGATTAACACTTGTAGGTTAGGATATATAGTTTGAACCAAGGTTCCAAGAAGGAGTTATTACTAGTGCTGGGGAAAGGCTAACCTGTTGGCATTTCAGGGTGTTTTCTTCAAAACAGTCACAGTATATCCTCAATTTCAAGGAATCAAAGTCTTTCTAAAATACCCCAAATTTAACAGCTGGCTCTCAGGAACTTAAGTTCATCTGCAACAGATCTAGACTTCTGGTTAGAAAGCAGAAGATAAGTTTTTATCATTAGTATATTGAATATACCTTATATTAGGGCAGGTAATTACTTTTCATAGTGTGTTCGACATGGTTTAGGTATTCAGGAAAAAAATAATCTAACCATGGAGTTTACAACAGAATACACAGAGTCTAGGTGTTCCATTAAGATGAAAGAATAAAAAATTATTATTATTTGCTCCCAGCACCGTTTGCTTTTAAAGCAATGAAAGAGATTTGACAATGCGTATCAAAGTTAAAAGACTACCCACATATGGGTTATAAGCATCCTTTTTACACAAACTAACACAAAGCATAACATTGAATGAACTCGGGGCAGTGCTTATTCATAAAACCAAGGAAGGGGAAATCCATTTGGTTCTGTTCTGTTCTTGTTCTGTTCACCCCTCCACTGCCTGAGCTCCCAGTAATAAATTCTCTTAGCTGGAGCTCTGGAAGCTTCAGAGGACACAGCTAATGAACTACAGGTTCTGCTGCTAGTGAACTCCGTGCT